CTCTCACTCTTCCTCCTCCCTCCTCCTCCTCCTCCTCCTCCTCCTCCTCCTCCTCCTCCTCCTCCTCCTCCTCCTCCTCCTCCTCCTCCTCTTCCTGGTCGTCCTCCTCCTCCTGGTCGTCCTCCTCCTCCTGCTCGTCCTCCTCCTCCTCCTGCTCGTCCTTCTTCTCCTGCTCCTCCTGCTCCTCGTCCTGCTCCTGCTCGTCCTCGTCCTCCTGGTCTTGCTCGTCCTCCTCCTCGTCGTGCTCTTCCCCTGCTGAAAATGTGGCCCAGGAATGGGAGTTCTGGGAAGTCGAAGAGCACGAAGTTGCCTACAGTTGGCTACGGGCATTCAAAATGTGGCCCGGGAATGGAGGTTCCTGCGGGAACTCGAAACCAACAAGTGGCCTACCGTTTGGCTCCGGGCATTCAAAATGTGGCCCGAATGGAGTTCTGGGCTCGAAGACCACGAAGTGGCCTACAGTTGGCTCCGGGCATCCAAAATGTGGCCCGGGAATGGAGTTCTGGGAACTCGAAGAGCACGAAGTGTGTGACTGTTGCATCCGGTTATTCTAAATGTGGCCCGGGAATGGCGTTCTGGGATGTCGATGAACACGAAGTGTGTGACTGTTGCATCCGGTTATTGTAAATGTGGCCCGGGAATGGCGTTCTGGGATCTCGAAGAGCACGAAGTGTGTGACTGTTGCATCCGGGTATTCAGAATGTGGCCTGGGAATGGAGTTCTGGGAAGGCGAAGAGCACGAAGTGTGTGACTGTTAGTGAAAAACGAGCCCGGCACCCTGCCGCCCGGCAACTCCCCAACACCTGCCCGGACCCCCCTGTGGAGTGATCTGTGAGCTCTTTTGAGTCAACTAGAAACCTATCAGTCTTCGCTGTTAGGTAACTAGAAACCTATCAGTCTACGCTGTTAGGTAAAAATAGTCTGGGGACTACTTTTGGGGTATGTTTTGACCTTTTTGGTGTATTTTTGTGGTACTTATAATTTTTCGTCGAAAATCTCCCTGTAGGGGGACAGGCCCGACTTAACGTTTGTGTCATTCTTCCTTCCCCGAAGGATGCAGACGGGAGAGGAACCCGCAGGCCAAGGAAAGCCTGGCGGGGGGCCGTCCAGCCCGCAGCCCCACCAAAAGGACGCAGGCCACAGCTGTGACGGGACGAGATGCACTTCTCGCGGGAGCAGGGCGAAAGGACAAACCATAATGATAGGCGGCGAGCGAGGGGGGGAAATGTGAAGGAGAAGGCCTTCTCAAGAGGCGGCGGTCTGAGAGGTTTTTGTATGTCTTCGGGAAGGCTTAGAAAACTTCTCAAGAAGGGCTTGGACTCCCGATCCTTCTGAGAAGGCCCGTCCCCGCCTTCTCACGTTCCACCTCGCTCTCGCCGCCGAATCAAGATGTGGGATGAAACGACGTGGATACATGCTAACCTGTCACACGGAGGAGATTTGGACCGAGTGGGGGTGGAAGGAGGCACTGGGGCGGCCACCAGTATTATGCACCTCGAAACCGAGTCTCGCACCTAGCAGCGATCCCGCACCTGCCCAAGTGCGGGGGCCGCTTGCCGGCGCTGAGTGTCGACGTCGGCATCCTTTCCAGGATGCCGACGTCGACACTCCCCAGGCATCCATTCCAGGATGCCTGTTTCCAGGATGCCTGCACCAATGCTCGCATTGGTGCGAGCGTCCAAAGCTCAATTCCGTACCGGTCCACTAGAAGTTGAGCAGTCAGCATGCCCACAGGACGCACTCCAGCCACTCAGAGAGGTTCAAAACCTGAGCATGCCGAACTGCTGACTAGCTGGCCGAGTACGTCACCAAACTTCCTCCTCCTCCCCCCTCCTCCTCCTCCTCTCCTCCTCCTCCTCCTTATTTCCTCCTCCTCCGTCTCATCCCTCCTCCTCCTCCTTCCTCTCGAGTCGGCACCGCTAGGATGCCTCTCGGTAAGGTGTGCTCGGCGCCGCCATCCCCGCGTCATCACGCCCCCCACTCACGGTGCAGCCCAGCAGCAGGGCCGCATACCGCACCAGCAAATGGTGACATCCCGAGCTAGAAAGCAAAAACGGCATACGCACAACCGTTCGGAGCTCCGAGCGGATTTCTTGGATCGGGGCTGAGCCCCACTCCCTGGCGCGCAGCGCCAGAGGCGAGGGGGGGGTCCCAGCGCCGATCCAAGAGATCCGCGCGGAGCTCCGAAAATATTATGCTTTTGTGCCTCTCTGTCTTCGATGCGAGGGACCGCGGTGGCCCGTGACTCGAGCGAGACTGCAGGAACGAGCAATGATACAAGCACAAAAACTCGGAGGTCCGCGCGGAGTTCTCGGATCCGCGCTGGACCCCCCTGGCGGCGCCTCCGGCGCCGCCCCCGGCGCGCTCCGCGCGCCAGGGAGAGGGGCCCAGCGCGGATCCAGGAAATCAGCGCGGACCTCCGAGTTTTTATGTTTGTGTGAAGTCGGGCCTGTCCCCTTACAGGGGGATTCTCGACGAAAGACAAAAACAGAAAAATAACAAACAAAATCATCCAAAAATAATCTGGGGACTATTTTTGGGGTATTGTTTGACCTTTTTGGGGTATTGTTGGGGGATTGTTTTATTTTTCGTCGAAAATCTCCCTGTAGGGGGACAGGCCTGACTTAATGTTTGTGTCATTCTTCGTTCCCCGAAGGATGCAGACGGGAGAGCACGTGCCAGAACCCGCAGGCCAAGGAAAGCCTGGCGGGGGGCCGTCCAGCCCGCAGCCCCACCAAAAGGACGCAGGCCACAGCTGTGACGGGACGAGATGCACTTCTCGCGGGAGCAGGGCGAAAGGACAAACCATAATGATAGGCGGCGAGCGAGGGGGGGAAATGAGAAGGAGAAGGCCTTCTCAAGAGGCGGCGGGACTGAGAGGTTTTTGTATGTTTTCGGGGAAGGCTTAGACAACTTCTCAGAAGGCTGGGGGACTCCCGAGCCTTCTGAGAAGGCCCGTCCCTTCTCACGTCCCCCCTCGCTCGCCGCCGAAATCAAGAAGTGGGGATGAAAAGACGTGGATACATGCTACCTGTCTACACGGAGGAGAGTTGGACAGAGGGGGGTGGAAGAGGCACTGGCGGCCACCAGTAATTATGCAGCCTCGAACCGAGTCTCGCACATCGCAGCGATCCCGCACCTGCCAGGGTGCGGGCCGCTGCCGGCGCTGAGTGTCGACGTCAAGTCGGCATCCTTTCCAGGATGCCGACGTCGACACTCCCCAGGCATCCATTCCAGGATGCCTGTTTCCAGGATGCCTGCACCAATGCTCGCATTGGTGCGAGCGTCCAAAGCTCAATTCCGTACCGGTCCACTAGAAGTTGAGCAGTCAGCATGCCCACAGGACCAGCACGTCAGCCACTCAGAGATTCAAAACCTGAGCATGCCGAACTGCTGACTAAGCTGGCCGAGTACGTCAACCAAACTTCCTCCTCCTCCCCCTCCTCCTCCTCCTCCTCCTCTTCCTCCTCCTCCTCCTCCTCCTCCTCCTCCTCCTCCTCGAGTCGGCACTGCTAGGATGCCTCTCGGGAAGGTGTGCTCGGCATCCGCCAGCCCCGCGTCATCAAGTCACCCACGCACGGTGCAGCCAGCAGCAGGGCCGCATACCGCACCAGCAAATGGTGACATGCCCGAGCTAGAAAAGCAAAAACGGCATACGCACAAACTTTCGGAGCTCCGAGCGGATTTCTTGGATCGGGGCTGAGCCCCACTCCCTGGCGCGCAGCGCCAGAGGCGCCGCCAAGGTCCATGTTTATCTTACGACAGAACCGGAGGCGCCGCCGGAGCGCTCAGAACTCCGAGAGTTTATTGTACGCCAATTTCCTTCTTCGACAAAAGCGGGCTAACCCTTCTGTGCCATCACCGCCTAGGCGGACTGCGATCGCGGCTCGCACCGCGGCTGGCACCGCGGCTCGCACCGCGGCTGGCACCGCGACTTGCGCTGCGGCTCGCACTCACGCTCCGCACGCGCTGGTCAGTCATGCCGGACGGGGTGTCGTGTGGCCCGCCCTTGAGCCGCCACTGTGCGATCACCACCTCGTCGTGGGTATGGTAGGTCGCATTTCGACTGGCGTCGCGGGAGTCCCCGAAGCGTGGGCGATAGCCCTGGCGAAGGAAGGGTTCCAGCTCCAACCAAAACACCTCTCGCATGAAAATGCCCTTGGTGGTGATTACCTCAAGCGGTAACTTCCAAGCCAAATGTTGCATGGCCATGAAAATCACACTGACCCTTCCGTGCTGCTCATCCAAACGGCTTGCAGCACTCCTGACGAAGCCTTCCACATTGGCCTGCATGTCCACACGAATGGAAACACTACTCGAGCGCTGTTGCGCGTGCGAGGGAAATGCCATCACCCAGATGGCACCATGTAAGCCTGCCACTTGTAATCGTATGCGGGTTGCGTCGATACCTTTCATCACTCGCACTCCGCAGTCTTCTAACGCCTGCTTGCAAGCCTTCAGCTCGTTCATGACCTTAGCTGTCTCTGCTCTCAAGCGTCCTTCCCTGTTACTCCCGAATTACAATGATCGGATGAGCTGACTGTACTTTTCCCTTTCGCAAACTTCCGCTAAAAACACCTCACATCCAACAACAATTTCATGCATCGCGCTCGCAGGGGAAGTCGGCGTAACCAACTCACTTGCAACTCTGAGACAGACACTGCGTCGGAACAACGACACTGGAATCTGCTAGAAGCTGGAGGCATTTCTGCGACAACATACCGGAGGAGGAGGAGGAGGAGGAGGAGGAGGAGGAGGAGACAGGACCAGGCGAATGACGAGGGGGAGGAGTAGGAGGAGGAGGAGGAGGAGGAGGAGGAGGAGGAGGAGGAGGAGGAGGCGGAGGAGGAGGAGGAGGCGGAGGAGGAGGAGGAGGAGGAAGAGGAGGAGGAGGAGGAGGACGAGGAGGAGGAGGAGGAGGAGGACGAGGAGGAGGAGGAGGAGGAGGAGGAGCAGGTGGATGGTGTGTGACCCCATCCAGCCCTCTGAGAGGCCCGTCGCCTACAGGTGCCTCGATCACCCCCTCTCCCTGGCCGCCCCTGCTCCAGGGCCCCGGCTCCGGGGGAAAGGGGGGCAAATTCTTGCACGGGCTCCCGATTCCATGCCCGAGGCCGAAAGCGACTAAAAGAAGACACAGCACATGAAACAACTGAGACAAATATGGGCCGTTAGAACAACCAACACGCTTCTTAAGGAAGAGGCGTTTCCGGCAAACACCTCCCGTGCCCCAAGAGGCCAGATGGCCACGAAGACAACGGAATGTAGCCCCAAGACGGCCCAGGAAAGCCATACGACGAGCCAAGATTGGCCCAAGAGGGATCCAGGACTTCAGGACGGCCCCAAGAGCGTCCCAAGACGGCCCAGCAGGTCCCCACGAGGTCCAAGGAGGGCCCGAAGAACGCCCAAGATGGCTCCCCCTAAGAGCCCCGCGACAGCCCTCCGCACTGCATTCCATGTGCCCCCCCTCGTCGACCCGACAAACCTCCCGGGAAATCTGGATCCGACCGCGGCCGAGCGAGCTGCACGTCGACTATCACTCACGAGCGCCCTGCGTTTCCAAAGGGCATGTGGCAGCGGTGACTCGCCGCAGGCGTGCTAGATAGAGCTACAGCGATCCACCGCCCGGGAACCGATGCCCTGGTGCCCCAGCGCGCGGTGGATATGGATACAGTTCGGCCCCCGGGGGCCCGAAGCTGTCCATCTCCACCGCCTGCCGAAGCTCCGAGAACGGACCCTCCCGGCGGTGGTCACGTATCCGCCGACCCTGTCGGCGTGTGTGAGGGGCCTCGTCCGTTCGAGTCGTCATCTCCGTCCTTCGTTTGTCGTCGTCTCTGTCGTCCTCTTCCCCCCCTTTCCCAGGGACCGCCTCAGCCCGTCATTCATTTGTCGTCGTGGCTGTCGTCCTCTTCCCCTCCTTTCCCAGGCGTTGAGGAACGCCGTAATGGAGTCGAAGGCAACCCCCTTCCCTTCGATCCCTCCCCCGCGGGGGGGGGAGGTAGGGGGGGGGTCCTGGGGGGGGTCCCGGAGGGGGGGTGGTCCGATACGACGCTCTCCCGGGGATAGCTCAGAAGAGTTCCAAAAAGGGCCAAGTGTGGTCTAATATGCCCCACAGACAGTCCACGAGAACCCCGACTCGCCTGACGATCTGTCCAATACGCCTTCACGGCTTCCAGACGGCCCAAGAGGCCTACAAGACGCCCCAAGAGGCATCCAGGAGCTTTCCCACGAGAGCCCCAAGAGGCAACAATCGTAGATTTTCCAAACGTTTTTGCAGGATTCTAGCGCTCTTGCCTCTGACGTTTGCCACCGCGCCAAGACGGCCCAGGAGGCCCCCAATATCGCCCCGAGAAACCCCAAGAGGTGCCCCAAAGCGTCCCCTAACGGCCCAAGAGGGCCCCAAGACGGCCCAAGACGCCTCCAGGACGTCCCCAGAAATCCTCGGAGGCTTCCAGAGAGCCCCCCCCAAAAAGACCATGAAAAATGAAACATCGACTCGAACCCCGATCCTCGATCCTCCTCCTCTTCCTCCTCTGCCTCCTCCTCCTCATCCTCCCCCTTCTCTGTTTCCCCTTCGCTCTTCGTCGTTTTCTCGCCCGCACCACCCTGAAACCTGCATGAGCCTCCCAGAACCACCCCCCGGTCACCCCCCCCCCCCCTTCCCTCGGCCCACCTCCTCAAACGCTCCAGCCAGAGGAGAATCGAACAACAGCGTAATCGACTCGAAGGGGACCCCGTTCCTGTAATCCCTTCCCCACGAGAGAGGGGAGGTCCGGGGGGAGGGTGAGAGGGAGGAGAAGATCCCGCGGGGTCCCTGGAAGCGTGCTGCGAATCGTGACCCCCCCCCCTCCCCCTTCTCCGACCGAGAACGCCCAAGAGAGCCCCAGGAACACCCCAAGAGACGCCGAAGAAGGGGGGGAAAACCAACCCACATTTCAAGCTCCCCACTCCTCCAAGAAGGCATACCAGCGAGGTCCGATTAAGGCTCTGCCTAATGGGTTTCTTTAGACTGCTCACTTCAAGTTCATACACTCCACGTCAGGCCCCCAACTTGCCTCCGATGCCAAGCTCCCGAAGAACGGGAACGCACCAAAATACACGCCGGAGCGCCCCGCGCAAGATAGGCCCACAAAGCCGGACCCGAAGCCCCAGGACAGCCCAAGAGGGCCTGGGAAGGCCCCAACAAGGACTCGCGATCGTCGTCGTTCATCGTTCCCCTTCAGGGTCGGCGGCATCGGCCGTAAGGCCTTCGCAATACAGTCCCTCCTCGGACAGCGGACGACACTGAGCCCTTTTGCAGCAGATGGGACGCGCAAAGACATACTAGTACCATATGTTATCCTTGGAGGCGCGCGTCCGACCCGAACACACACACACACACATATATATATATATATATATAAGTATATAGTAAACCCATCTTGTAGTATATCGTTTCCCGGACGGTGTGGCCAGAAAGCGCCCGTTACGACGCATATATGCTGTAAGAGTTCTCGGTGCGCGCGTCGCCCCTGCTGGGGCGACGAACATCTAGTAAAAGTACGTTTATGTCTGGCCTGTCCCCCTACAGGGGGATTTTCGACGAAAAATGAAAAATACACAGAGAATACCCCAAAAAGGTAACAAACATACTAAAAAAATAATCCCCAGACTATTTTTTGACTATTGTTTGACTATTTTGGGGGGTATCATTTATTTTTCGTCGAAGATCCCCCTGTAGGGGGACAGGCCCGACGTAAAAGTACGTTGGAAAAACGCCGAGCAGAGCCGCCCGTGGGCCCCCGCAGTCGCAGAGGCCGCGGGAGGAGGTGCAGGAGGGGGGGGCGCGGTGCCACCGGGCAACGCGCGGGGATTCGGCGGGCGCAGGCCGCGGCGCGGGCCGCGCGGGGGACCTCTGTCCAGGAACGGGTGGCGCCGCGGGCGGCGACTCTCTCTCTCTCTCTCTCTCCTCCTCCTCTTCCTCCTCCTCCTCCTCCTCCTCCTCCTCCCCCTCCTCCTCCCTCCTCCCTCCCACCCATCCGCCTCCTTAATCCTCCTCCTCCTCCTCCTCCTCCCCTCCTCCTCCTCCTCCTCCTTCTCCCTCCTCCTCCTCCTCCTCCTTCTCCTCCTTCTCCCTCCTCCTCCTCCTCTCTCTCTCTCTCTCTCCAGTGGGCGGCGAGCGCGGGGGGGAGTGAGGAGGGGCAGGCCTTCTCAGACGGGCTCGGGAGTCCCCGGCCTTCCGAGAAGTTGCCCGAGCCCTCCCGGAAGACGCAGGAAACTCCTGAGAAGGCGCGAGGGCTTCTGAGAAGTCCCGCCGCCTTCTGAGATGGCCTTCTCAGACGGGCTCGGGAGTCCCCGGCCTCCTGAGAAGTTGCCCGAGCCCTCCCGGAGGCGGCAGGAGACTCCCGAGAAGGCGCGAGGGCTTCTGAGAGGTCCCGCCGCCTTCCGAGAAGGCCTTCTCCGTCTCACTTTCCCCCCCTCGCTCGCCGCCGATCCAGGCAACGTGGGCGGGTCGCGAGAGGGCACCCGTGAAGGGGCCCTGGGACACACAAGTAAATACACACAAATAAAATGACCCCCATATTTTCCCATATTTTTAAAGTTTTCGTCTTCCCCCCCACTGCCTATATTTTCCCATATTTTCTGGGGGATCGACGATTCATTGTGTCTGTGTTTTTTCCCTGCTGAACTCGGCGGGACGGCAGGCGGGTCGCGCGGGGGGAGGGGGGGGGGGGCACGCGTGACGGTTTCCCCCAGGCCGGCGCAGCTTGTATCAAGGGGACCAAGGACACACAAATAAATACACACAAATAGAAGGATCCCCCATATTTTCCCATATTTTCTGGGTTTTCGTCTTCCCCCCCACTTCCCATATTTTCCCATATGTTCTGGGGATCGAGGATTAATTGTGTCTGTGTGTTTCTTTTCCTCCTGAGTGTTCCCCCAAGCCGGCGCAGCTTGTGGCAGCCCGCCGCAGGCGCAGTTTGCTGTCTGCTCGCTGCCGAGTCCAAAGGAATATGGGCGGGTCGCGAGTGTGGGATCGTGGGCGGGTCGCAGGTCAGGTCGCGGTCGGGTCGCGGTCGGGTCGCGTAGCAGGTCGCGGGTCAGGTCGCAGTCATTTCGCAAGACGGGGCGAGGGAGCGTCTCGCGATTGTGTCGCAGATGACTCACGGCGCGGTTCGCAGGTGGGCCGCCGGGCGACGACGACAACACAACACGACAGAACCACGACGACGACGACTCGCACTGCAGAACTCGTTCTGAGCCACGTTCCCAAAGACGGTGTAAGACCCCCTAGGTCCCCTCACTTAGACTTGCGCCTATCCCTTTCGTAGCTGAGGTATGGAACAAAATCGCGGACATGTGGCCCTCTCAGATGGGCCTACGTAGCATCCGAAATTGGCCAACATGGCCCAAATGGCCCAGATGGCCTCTAGAATGCGTCCAACAGGCACGGATAAGGCCTCACAGTTGCTCTGAAGTTTTTCCGAGTCGCCCGAGGATGCCTCGAGAGGCCAACATCATTGAACAACAAAAGCTTACAGTGGCAATCGCTTGCTTCAGACGCTCGAACTGAAAGCCTTCGCAGAGCTACTCGCTCGACTCATGCGTCGATGCTGCGTCGAACGTCCATCGTCTGGAGTCGAGCTTGAGTCAGCATTGAGTCGAACTTGAGCCGAACCAGAGCGGAACTAGAGCCGAAGTAGGTTCGACAATGATCGGATCTGTTAGGTGGGCCCGAGGAAGGTCCCCTAAGATAAACAACTAACCTTCTCGTCATGTTGGCTTCCGAAGGCGCTCTGTTGTTGTTGCAGCGTACAATAGCAACGAACGCAGAGTCTCCTGGGAGGTGCAGACACAGAAGCGTTACGACGATTTTGGTGTTTTTTTCCACCTCCGTAGTGTTCGGCCCGAGTCGCGAGAGAGCTTAAGCGCCAGTTGGGTTTCTCAAGAGCCCACGGGCCGGCGCTAACACTTACCATCGCCTGTTGAAACACATCGTGCACCCATCATCCACAGGTGGCCACCCAAACGACCAGAGAGAAGAACAGGAGGAGCCGACAAGGCCTGCACCTGTCCCCCAAAGACGCCCCAGCACCCCGAGGGCAGGATCAGGAAGACACGCTGGTCAGCGCCAGGCTCCCAAGGGAGTCGCTTTGAATGCCACCGGAGCCGCCCGAGCACTGACCTGACCAGTCAGCCGTGGAACTGCCTCGGCAGTTCCACGGTCTGCCTCCTTCTCCTCCTCCTCCCTCTCCTCCTCCTCCTCCTTCTCCTCCTCCTCCTCCTCCTCCTTCTCCTCCTCCTCCTCCTCCTTCTCCTCCACCTCCTCCTCCTCCTCCTTCTCCTCCTCCTTCTCCTCCTCCTCCTCCTCCTCCTCCTCCTCCTCCTCCTCCTCCTCCTCCACGGTCGGTCTGCCTCCTCGGCGAGTCCTCCTCCTCCTCCTCGGCGAGTCCTCCTCCACTGGCTGCCGCCTCGGAGCCACCAGGGTTCAGGTCAGTACTCGTGCCTCCCGGGCGTCACCTAGAGGGACTGGGCCGACCCGAACGCTGACCTGGCCCGTTCGTGAACCTGGACAGGGAGAGCCCGTCACGCGGCTTCCTGTCAATATCCTGGAGGGGGGCGGGTGGGAGCAAAGAGGTGGGGCGTGTTCCCGAAACTAGGGGTGCCTCAAAGATTTCGGCTCAGATTGTGATAGTGATGTGCACGCGCAATGTTCTTCGATGGTAGGCCATGCTATGCACAGCTTGCCAGATGATAAGATACGGTCACATGCGAATGCTCGAATATTCAATCCTACGCGATACCAAATATACTTACACTGCCAACGTTTATGCTAACGATCGAGCTAGTGGTTACTGTTAGCGCCGCTGATGCAATGCCCACGTGCGCTGTGATGTGACACCGTGGAGTGTGTATAATGATGGATGGCCTGGCATGGGAATGCAATGCATTGATACGAAATTAAGGGTCCTGGAGTCAGGTCACGTATCCGTAACATGTGTACCCACGCCGGCTACAACGATTATACTTGACCATTCTAAGACAACCACCCACCGTGAGAATGCATTTCTTATTATATGATTGCTGCCACGTGTTTGCTTATTATGTGCAATGCATTGCTGTGATATGATACGCATTGCGATGCTAGGGTGGGGAACGCAAAATTATAAAACGATCAGCTGTGATCTGCTATGCTGTGCAAGCGGCATCATGCCCTACGCTATAACGAGCCACGCCAATGCTATTACACAGCATGCTAATGCTGTGCAATGTCACGCTTTGGTATGTATTGCCTTGATACGCTACACCAAGCTATCAGTTGCAAGTGCGATGTCACGCTGTGCACTAACATGAATGGTTGTCGTTGAAATTGCAGTTGAGCTGTTGCTGGTCTAGGTGTAGATCAGATTTTATACGCCGTGCCTACTCCTAACATGTCTTGGGGTTTCAACCGGGTTTCATCACGGGTGCTGCCCACTTGGAAAAGATACGGAAGCCTTGTACTTCTGCCGTCGGGGCTTGTGTCAAGGAAAGCTGTCTGGTCTCCAAGATCAGGCTGGTTCGTCACGACTTGGGTACAAGTTCCTCGCCATGCTTTGCTTCGCCTTGCTTTCATTGGATTTGTTGCGTTGCTTCATTTAGCTGTGTTTGCGTTGCCTTGGCCTTGCTTTGCTGAGCACTGCCGTCTTGATATATGCACAGCTTCACCCAGGCCATCAACACCGCAATGCCATAGATGACTGCAGGGAGTACGAGCACCGCAATACCTGTCAACGACACGGTTCGCTCAAGCACCAAGGGGCCTGTGGCCACCCCAGCACTCACGATCATCAGACTGCGGAAAACCCCATGCCTTTGAGCTTCTCGTGGCCTGAGGGAACCGCAAGCATCAGACCTTCCGTCGCGGTCATCGGCACCGCAAAGCCTGCGAAACCACACCGCCTGAAACATCACGCACTCTGTGACCAAAGGATCGGCGCTGACTCCTACCGCTGAGCCCCCGACGCGCTCGCTCGTTGGCCAGTTCAGCGCTGTCGACCACCAGTCCAAACTCACGACGTCCCTCGTCTCTGCGAAACTCCTGCGCACAATGCCCGCTGCTGCAGCGGAAAAGCCGTGCGTGTACTCACCCACAAACAGAAGTCTGCGAGGCTCACCGCGGAGAACAAAGAGAAGATCCTCTGCTGTAATCGTCTCGTCCCTGAGCTTTGTGGCAGACCCTGGTTGGGCGCGTGATGCTACCGGTGAACGGCCTCGACGATGAGTCTCCACGCTCTGTAGATCAGGCGGCTGAACCTCCGGCCGTCCTTTCCTGATAGGGTCCTTCTGGCGGCGCCCAGCGAGAGCATCGTGCGTCCGCGGCACAGACGGGATAGCACATAAGGCCGACAAGTGCAGCTTGCGACAAAGGCTGTTGCAGACGTGCAGTGACCTGAACCTCTGCATCCCATCGGTGCCGAGATCGGCAACACCATAAGACCTGTTTCGAGACAGAATCTGAGGATCAGTCAGCGACAAGCTGCAGAAAGCGTCCCCGTCTCCACGAGGAACGCCCTGGATGTCGGACACCATGTGCTCACCGCTGCTGGAATCCAGCGAGAAGTGTGCAAAAGCCTCGGCAGCCATTGTGTATTGGCTACTGGTCTTTGGTATGAGAATCTCTCCTCGATTGTTGACCCATTTGAAGAATCCAGACTCTGATCCTTGAAGAAAGGGCTCGGCCACGAACCACTCGTGGTACGACTCATATGCAAAACACTGCGCGACACGAACGAGCCGCCTTGGCTCGCGTTGTGTTCCAAAGGCGTTCCATACAGCTCGATGGAATCTGTTTCCATACATGCGCGCCTTCAACGTGTTGAGAACAAAAGTTTTGACGTAATCGTAAGAGGCACCGTCCTCATCGTACTTCGAGAACTTCGCGACCATGCGAAGCCAGGGGATGTCACAGTCAACGAATCGGTGAAGAATGCGCATGCCACCCAACATGAAAGGATTCTGACGGATTTGGTAATATATAGTTTTCCGACGTTCCATCTGCACTTCTGGCTCCCTCCCTTTCAAAGAGAACGTGTAACGTGTTGCAATCTGGTACTTCGACTTGAAAAGCTTAATGGACGCGTTCTCGAAACGCACTTCGCGTGTAAGACGCTTACTGGCCTGGTCAGTGGCACGTGTCTGGGTCAAAGTTTTGCTTACGGCTGTGAATGTGTTCACAAGTCGATCGATATTCATCCCAGCACAGCTGAACGTACCACGGCCGATCTGTGAGATTTGCTGCAGAATAGAAAAATCGCCGGCCCCCATAGCAAGTGTATGCACATCAAGTTGTGAATTGCGAGCCACAGTTCTTTGTAAACCATGGAGTGCTGTAGATCCAATGACCGGGTTACCATCTGATAGCATGAGCACTCGCGTCCTTCGATCTGTCCGAACCAACTCATCAATGGCTCGGAAGGCCGTGTCGTAATTTGACCCATGATGAGCAACAATCGTTGCCGAAGCCAACTTCTCGATCGCTGCCTCGGGCATCTCTTCGGCGAACACAACATTGTATAAACCCGTATCCATCTTGCACCCAGGCGGAACCTGGCCGAACGTTACGAGAGTGTACCTGTCCTGGGCAGCTCCGGCAGAGCGCTGCTGATTGATGAAGCGCTGAATGAGATCGATGACCACCTCAACGCGAGACAAGGTCGTGCCGGCCACATCACACTTTGACATGGAACGCGCAGTGTCAACGAGGAAGATTACCGCCATGGTGTTGTTGAAGGCTCCAGAGAGCTCGCCAAGGCCATCTCGAGCCTCATCGGAGTCATAGTCTGAATCACGGCTCGGGCTTGTCAGCTCTTCCTCCTCCTCACCTTGCGAACCCAGCCATGCTCGGAACTCCTGTTCCAGCTCGTGGTTCTCAACGTCCGCATTGACGTCGTCGACCTCAGCCGCTTGCGCCTCTGCCGTGGACGCCGCGGCGAGCACGGGACGCCCGACTTGGGGAGGCATCTGCTGCGCGGCAGGAGGCGAGACTCCCACGGGGGATTCCTCCCGGGATGCCAGCCCTGCTCGGGCCAGCGATGCTGCGGGAACGGGGCGCCCACGCGCAACACGAAGCAGCTTCCGCGCAGGCTGCGCTGCTCGTGGAGCTGCCCCTCCTGCCCTGACGGCGTGGGCTCCGGCCGTCTGCCACCACGCGAGCGCGACGAGCTCCAACGAGATCTCCACGGTCGGTGGTCACCAGAAGCTGCTGCCGGCCTTCCACTCAGAGCGCCCGCGGCGATGCCGCCGCCGTGCCGAGGCGCCACGAGCCCGACGCGTAACCTGCGGGGCCCCCTGGAACGAGGGCTACATGTTCTCCCGTGTGCGACTGCCTGCGTGTGCGCGGTTGGGCGCAACCCGAGTCTGAAAGTGCGCGACCCGCAGTCTTCCGTCATATGCGCGCCGACGGAAAGACTGTGTGTGTAGGCGCGCACGAGTTGCTGCGTCTCACGCCACGTTGCACGCGTCGGTGCCACCCACAGCGCCGGAGGAGGACATCGACAGACGCGCGCATACGCCATGCTACGTGTGCTTTGCACTCTTGGTTGGAGCTGGTGTTGCCTACAGTGAGCTGTCACGAGTGATGCGGTCCACGACGGCGAGGTCTCCTGGCGTTCTGCACTTTCGAGATCTCCTGATACACACACACACACACTCACACGCAGGTCCCAACACGGCGTCTGCGTGCACTCGCTTTCTGAGCTACCTGCTCCCAGTTATTGGGGTACATGCGCTCTCTTCACTCGGCTTCGGTACCTGCTTGAGCAAGCACTCGGCAAGTGAGAACCGCCGTCTCTCGCCCTCCCTCCCTCTGTCAACCTCCACAATATCCTCCATTTCTCCTCCTCCTGCTCCTTCTCCTTTCGCGCGCTGCTACTCTCGGAATTATCTCACGCGCTGGCCCTTTTGCTGGACCCGCCTCTGACTTGTGTCCGCACTTGTCCTCCCTATTGCAAGATTGCGCGCTGTTGTGCTGAGAGATCGTGGGTGGAGGAGGGATGTAAGGAAGAGGGGATGAGGAGGCTGAGATGGGAAGGAATGGGGAATCAGGAAAACGGAGGGCAGGAGGGGAAAGATATACGAGAGAGAGGATGCAAAGTGGGCTGACGAGAAAGAAAGGGGGGCGACAGGATGGTGAGGATGAGCAGCGGGAGGGGGGAAGGGCGAGGGAGGGGAATATTGAGTGGGTATCGGGGAGATTCGGGCGGGGTGGGTGGGTGGGAAGAGACATGGATAAGGAAGGGGAGGAAGGGGAGAGGAGGATGGGAGGGATGGAAGGGATGGGAAGACAGAGGATAGGGGAGGGGGAGTGCGATTCTCAAAGCGCGACTTACCTCCATATGGGCCACTCGGGTTCGTAGAGTGATGCAGGAAGGCGGCCGACCTTGACTGGGAATCGGCTCGCGTAGTCGAGAGCATGGCAGCTATACCCTGGTTCTTACATGGGATAGGAGGGCGACTGAAGTAGACAACAGACTCGTCACTAGACGCACCTACTTCTATCTCCGCATGCTTTGACGGCTGGACGGATCCAGGCGTGGATGCCGATTCGGAGAGAGGCTTGGACTCTCGGGCTTCCTCCTCGACAGGAACACCAACGCTCGTGCACCGCGCGCCAGTGCGGGCCACCGCAACCGCCCGCACAAGGGCCCGTGCCAGCGCGCGAAAGCGCGTGCTTTCGCGTGCTCCTCCTCTCTCTCTTATACACCTTCTCTTTCGATATCTCTCACGCATCTCTATTTTGTGGTATCTCTCTCTCTCTCTCTCTTCTCACAACTATTTCTTTCTTACCTCAATCTCTCTCTCTCTCTCTCTCACGCACCTCTCTGTCCTCTGTCTTGATGTTTCCTTGTTTCTCTCTCTCTCTCTTTCTTTCTTTCTTTCTCTCTCTCTCTCTCTCCCTGTCTTTCTTTCTTTCTCACCTCTTTCTCTCTCACTCTCTCTCGCGCTCTCTCTCTCTCCCTCTGTCTGTCTCCCTCGCTCTCTCTCTCTCTCTCTCTCTCTCTCCCTGTCTTTCTTTCTTTCTCACCTCTTTCTCGCTCACTCTCTCTCGCGCTCTCTCTCTCCCTCTGTCTGTCTCCCTCGCTCTCTCTCTCTCTCTGTTCCCCCATGGCGTCCCCGCTTCCCCGGCCTTCCGCCGCCCCCCCCCCCCTTCCCCCGCTCCTCCCTACATCCCCTCCCCTCCCCCTCCCATGTGTCGGGGATGGACAGACCCCCCTGTCGTAAAACGTGGTTTAGTGAAAACGACCTGAGGCCCAAACCTGGCGGGCGCAGGCCTGGAAAATAACGGCCGCGGCGCCCTCTCGACGTGTCACTGCTGGGGGTTCTGTCCACCTCCGAATGTGGCCCCCCGTCGTGGCCCGGCTCCGGCCGCCAGCGGCCCTCGAAAGGCTACACACACACGAGGAGGAGGAGGAGGAGGAGGAGGAGGAGGAGGAGGAGGGGGAGGAGGAGGAGGAGGAGGAGGAGGAGGAGGAGGAGGAGGGAGGAGGAGGAGGAGGGGAGGGGGAGGAGGAGGAGGAGGAGGAGGAGGAGGAGGAGGAAAAAAAAAAGGGCGGCGCACGGCCGGCGCGCGCGCGCCGGCCGCGGGCAGGCGGCGCGGCTCCCCGCCGTGCCCGCCGCCGCGCCCCGCGCGCGCTCGGCGCAGAACAGGACCAGCGCGTGCCTGCGCGCCTCCCGGAGCACCTCCTGCGGGGGGGGGATAAGTGCCGGAGCTCCGGCGCATGGAGAAAAGCTCCTTCTCCGTCCTCCTCCTCCTCCTCCTCCTCCTCCTCCTCCTCCCTCCCTCCCTCCTCCTCCTCCTCCTCCCTCCTCCTCCTCCTCTCCCTCCTCCTCCGTCCTCTCCGTCCTCCTCCTCCTCCTCCTCCTCCTCCTCCGTCCTCCTCCTCCTCTCTCTCCTCCTCCGTCCTCCTCCTCCTCCGTCCTCCTCCTCCTCCTCCTCCTCCTCCTCCTCCTCCTCCTCCTCCTCCGCCTACTCCGCCTACTCCTCCTACTACTGCGCAAAAGCTTTTCGCAGTTTTCGGTCTCCAGAGGACCTCGCCAGGCCGCGGGGCGGTCAAGGAACGACTCGGGACGGAAAGCCGGTCCTGGGGAAGGGGTCGTCGCCGTCGTCGTCGTCGTCGTCGTCGTCGTCGTCACGTCGTCGTCGTCACGTCATCGCCAAAATCACGACAGCGGATCTTTGGGGTCGTGCGGCCGCCGAGCTCTGCCCCCGGCTCGGCGGCGGAGTCCGAGGAGCCCGGCCCTCGCCGGGCCACGATGCTTTCCTGCAGCTCGAACGATGGGCGGCAGAGGGCAGGGTTTGGCATTCGTAGGGAACGCGTGGCAAGATCCGAACCCTAGTGCGGGATGACGATTAATACAAAAAATTGGAGAGAACGGTTCAAAAAACAGTTTCCTGCTAGTTCTGCACAACTTTCTGACTGGAGGAGAACGATTCAAGAAATAGTTTTCCAGCCCGCGGCCGGTTTTTTCTAATCGTCAT